TGGGATAACTTTAAATTATGATTAATAATCAAAATCTTACACGTTGCATCATGTAAATTAACACATGTAACCTCTCTGCTAAAGTAACGATAGCTATTTACAGATTTAAATCATAATCAAAACAATTCACGTACCAACATACAAACTTTTGGAAATAGAGTAAGATTGATTTGTCATGTTTTTCAAATCGTCTTACAATGCCCGGATGGAAAACAACACGCCTAGGCTGACAATATGGCCCCACACTATGGTGGGGACATAAAAAAATTAAATTTCTAAGCAAGAGCTCTTAACATGTCGTTATTTGACAAAAGTTGGTGTGGCACTTCCTCTTGCCACTGTTCCAAAACTAGTTACTTTGATGGAACGTCAATGTAACAAAATGGATGAACTACCTGGTTACGAGTTTTTTTGTTTTCTCGATTTAAACCTACTTATAAGTTGCAGATTATAATTTGGCACAAAGCTAGAAAATATTGTCTAGTTTTTATGTCCCCACCACATAGTGTGGGGCCATATTGTCGGCCTAGGCCCGTCCGACTGTCTGTCTGTCCATCCGTCTGTCCGTCCGTACGTCCGGGAGTTTTCTCCAAAACCGCTACAGATATCACCTTCAAATTTTCAGAGACTTATGAGTGCCTATAGATGTGGATGAAAAAAATTTAACTCGAAACCTACTTCCTGTCGCCCATTTTGAACTCAAATGCTAAAATCCTTATCTGCAAACTTTAAGAAAAACGGCTTCACAGTTGCTTTTTATGTCCCCACCACATAGTGTGGGGCCATATTGTCAGCCTAGGCGCGTCCGTCTGTCTGTCCGTATGTCTGTCTGTCTGTCTGCCTGTCTGTCCGTCCGTACGTCCGGCAGTTTTCTCCAAAACCGCTACAGATATCACCTTCAAATTTTCAGGGAGAACTTATGAGTGCATACAGATGTGGATGAAAAAAAATTATCTCGATACCTACTTCCTGTCGGCCATTTTGAAGTCATATGCTAAAATCCTTGTCTGCAAGCTTTAAGAAAAACAGCTTCACAGTTGCTTTTAAAACTTTAACATCTTGTTCAGCTCACTTCATTCTAGATCTGATTAGGTTTTGGACCTGTTAGCTCAGTCATGTCAGCCATTTTGAATGTTTTAAGAAAAGTTAGCGCACGATAATACTTTGTATCATATTGAATGGTGTTTTTCAGTTTTCATACTTTAACTATTTAGTAGCTTTATAAATAATTTCAGGTGAACTTTGTTGTAAAAGCCTATGTTATTGTTAACAGTAGTTATATGTGATAATTTTGTAAAAAGAAATCAGCAAAAATTCATAATCACTTTTTTATTGTCGGCCATTTTGGATTTTCCGTCCTAAAAGCGTGTCTGTAAAGTCTTGTCTATGCGTTTACAGGTGAACCGTTTGGTAGATCAATTTCAAATTTTCAGGGATGATTCTTAGTATGAAAATTTAGATCTGATTAGTTTTTGGGCATTCTGGGTAAATGTCAAGGCAGCCATTTTTGATTTTCCGTCTTAAAATCTTCCCCTTAAAGTCTTGTCTACGCATTTTTAGGTGAACCGTTTGGTAGATCAATTTGAAATTTTCAGGGATGATTCTCAGTATGAAAATCTAGATCTGATTAGTTTTTTGGCTTTCTGGATAAATGTCAAGGCAGCCATTTTGGATTTTCTGTCTTAAAATCTTGCCCGTTAAGTCTTGTCTACGCGTTTTTAGGTGAACCATTTGGTAGATCAATTTCAAATTTTCAGGGATGATTCTGAGTATGAAAATCTAGATCTGATTAGTTTTTGGGCATTCTGGGTAAATGTCAAGGCAGCCATTTTGGATTTTCTATCCTAAAATCTCGTCTGTAAAGTCTTGTCTACGCATTTCCAAGTGAACTGTTCCGTAGATCAATTTCAAATTTTCAGGGATGATTCTTAGTATGAAAATCTAGATCTGATTAGTTTTTATGCATTCTGGATAAATGTCAAGGCAGCCATTTTGGATTTTCCGTCTTAAAATCTTTCCGTCTTAAAGTCTTGTCTACGCGTTTTTAGCTGAACCGTTTGGTAGATCAATTTCAAATTTTCAGGGATGATTTTTAGTATGAAAATCTAGATCTGATTAGTTTTTGGGCATTCTGGGTAAATGTCAGGGCAGCCATTTTGGATTTTCTGTCCTAAAATCTTGTTTGTAAAGTCTTGTCTACGTATTTTCCAGGTGAACCGTTTGGTAGATCAATTTCAAATTTTCAGTATGAATGTTTCTTAGTATGAAAATCTAGAACTGACTATTTTTTGGCATTCTGGGTAAATTTTAAGGTGGCCATTTTTGATTTTCCGTCCTCAAATTGTGTCGGTAAAGTCTTGTCTACTCATTTTTAGGATAACCATTTGACGGGATCACCCATAGGTGGGGACATTTTGTACACATTTGTGTTCTTGTAAAACGTTAACATCTTGTTCAGCTCACTTCATTCTAGATCTGATTAGGTTTTGGACCTGTAAGCTCAGTCATGTCAACCATTTTGAATGTCTTAAGAAAAGTAGAGCGCGATAATACTTTGTATCATATTGAATGGTGTTTTTGAGTTTTCATACTTTAACTATTTAGTAGCTTTTTAAATAATTTCAGATGTACTTTGTTGTAAAAGCCTATGTTATTGTTAACACTGTGATAATTTTGTAAAAAGAAATCAGCAAAAACTCATAAGGACTTTTTTATTGTCGGCCATTTTGGATGTTTTGGTCCTAAAATCTTCTGTGAAGTCTTATCTGTGCGTTTTCAGGTGAACCGTTCGGTGGATCACTTTCAAATTTTCAGGGATGATTCTTAGTATGACAATCTAGATCTGATTAGTTTTTTGGCATTCTGGGGAAATGTCAAGACAGCCATTTTGAATTTTCCGTCCTTAAATCTTGTCTGTAAGGTCTTGTCTACGCGTTTTCAGGTGAACTGTTTGGTAGATCAATTTCAAATTTTCAGGGATGATTCTTAGTATGAAAATCTAGAACTGATTAGTTTTTTAGCATTCTGGATAAAGGTCAAGGCAGCCATTTTGGATTTTCCGTCCTAAAATCTTTTCTGTAAAGTCTTGTCTACGCATTTTCAGGTGAACTGTTTGGTAGATCAATTTCAAATTTTCAGGATGGTTCTTAGTATGAAAATCTAGAACTGATTAGTTTTTTAGCATTCTGGGTAAATGTCAAGGCAGCCATTTTGGATTTTCCGTCCTAAAATCTTGTCTTGTCTACACATTTCCAGGTGAACCGTTCTGTAGATCAATTTCAAATTTTCAGGGATGATTCTTAGAATGAAAATCTAGATCTGATTAGTTTTTTGGCATTCTGGATAAATGTCGAGGCAGCCATTTTGGATTTTCCGTCTTAAAATCTTGCCTGTAATAAAGTCTTATCTACGCGTTTTTAGGTGAAATGTTTGGTAGATCAATTTCAAATTTTCAGGGACGATTCTTAGTATGAAAATCTACATTTGATTAGTTTTTTTGCATTCTGCGTAAATGTTAAGGCAGCCATTTTGGATTTTCTGTCCTAAAATCTTGTCTTACCGTTTTCAGGTGAACCGTTTGGTAGATCATTTTCATATTTTCAGGGATGATTCTTAGTATGAAAATCTACAAACAGATTAGTTTTTTGACATTCTGGGTAAATGTCAAGGCAGCCATTTTGTATTTTCCATCCTGAAATCTTGTCTGTAAAGTCTTGTTTACATGTTTTCTGGTTAACTGTGTGACGGATCAATTTCAAATTTTCTGGGGTGGTTCTTAGTATGAAAATCTAGAATTGACTAAATTTTTGGCTTTCTGGATAAAGGACAAGGTGCAATTATTGGCAAATATCCCTATGGTCAAAATGAATCATTCGTAGGTGTAACATGAAGAATAAAATGTCATATAATACTTTGGAAAATATTAAAGTGCTCAGACACACATAAGCTGAGATAGGGATCATTTCGTTCAGTAAGGTTGTATTGACTTACATTGGGCTGTGCACCATTGACTTAACATGAGGATATCAGCAGATCCCAATAGAGGCCATTGGTTTCCATTGATTATCACAGAAATACCAAAAATACACTATGACCTGAATCGATTGCAAACTTAATAATTTCACAATACTACACAAATGGTTTATCTCATCAAATGTGCAAATATGAAGTTTGCAATCGATTCAGGTCATACTTAAAATTAAAAGATTGTACATTTTTTCATCATTTTTTTCCCTACAAAATGGCTATAGAAAAATGCTCCAAAAACAACTTTTACACTTATCAAATATCATACAAGTTTGTAAAACCAAAGATTATACTATTATATTTCATTATGTAGTAACATATTTGGATAAGATGCAGGGATGCATAGGATGTAAATGGATTTTGACAGATACAAAAATACTTCCTGGTTTGGAATCTATGCCTCTACACTTCATGATTGAATTATGACCCTAATAAGTGGCCTATACATCAATACAGTGCTGAATATAGGTCAACAAGATACTAGTGTGCATATAAATGTAATAATTGAAGCAGAATACTCATTTTGAAAAATCAGATGAATTATTTTTTTCCCATGGGGAGATCCCAATGGAGGGTGTATAAGGTCCTTTTAAGGTGGCCATTTTAGATTTTTCATCCTTCAATTGTGTTGGTAAAGTCTTGTCTACTCATTTTCAGGATAACCATTTGACGGAATCACCCATTGGTGGGGACATTTTGTACACATTTGTGTTCTTGTAATAAGTTTCTTCGATTTGGAATTTGTTTTTGTAAATGAAGTTGCAATTCATATAGTTAGCCCCTCGCTTTTGTTACATTGACGAAAGTCCATTTTATTACCAATGTATGTTACTTTGTCAACTTACATCAATGTAAGAAAAGCAATGGTCTATTGCATGAATTACAGGTTTATTCAAATTCCAAACCGAGGGCATTTCTAAAAGCTAGACTATATTGTCTAACTTTGTGCCAAATGATAATCCGCAACATGTCTTATACATAAGTTTAAATCAAGAAAACAAAAAACTCGTATCCAGGAAGTTCATCCATTTTGCTACATTGACTGACGTTCCGTCAAAGTAACTAGTTGTGGAACAGTGATTGGATTATCTCATGTAAAAATCAGATTTTCACTCCAAAACACACTTTGAAGTATTTAACTTTTTTTTAAATTCACAGAAACAATTAGTTACGGTATGTAATTTGTTTATATTGTTTTACAATATTAGGCAATACACCCCTCCCAGTATTCCATGCAGTCTCATGTCAATACACCCCTGAATTGCATCACATGCATTTTTAAATGATGGGCAATACTAGTACACCTTTTAACTACATTGCATCCATTTTCAAATGACAGGCTATGCTATCTGCATTCAGGGTTTTTGTTTCAATGGAATTTATTAAAAAACATATTTAAGAAAACGTAAATCTTTTTATTTTTTGTTCCTAAGTTCTCCTTGACCTTCTTTAGGTTTTGCAGATCGTGCAAACTGTACAACTAAAGGTTTCCCATTCAATTCATAGCCATTTGTGTCTTTGAGAGCCCTTTGTGCTATATTCTGATTAGGTAGAGTCACAAAAGCCTGACCTTTCATTCTACCCTCTTTCATAAGTCTTATGTCAAACATGTTTGTTTCTGTTTCATTGTCCCAATCAACGTATCTTCCATATATATAGTGTAGTTCTTTGTCAGTGGTCTGTTTTGCAATGTTTTTAACGTACAATCTTGGGGTTGGTTCACCCGGGTCATACTTCTTATAAACGGATAAATCTTTCATTTCTGATGGGGAGATTCTTCCATGTTGTAACTTTGAGCTTGAAATAAACTTCATGTCCTTTGATTCTTCATTTTCACTTTCTGATTGTTCTTCAGTCTGTTTTCTTAGAGGTTCTATTTTTCCAAAGCCGTCATTGGCAGACTTTGGTATGGTAGTGTTCATTGGCTCAGGTGCTGGTTTAAGGAAGGAGTCAAGTTTGTATGGATCATTTTGATTGATTTGATCAGTTTGTTGATCTGCTGCTGTATTTGCTGAAAAATAAAAATGGGCGTATTATTGTTGATAATTCAAAAGATGCCAATATTTAGGCCTAGTATCCCTATTTACATTATAAACAACATTCCAAGATGGATTGACTAAGAGCTCTTACAAAAATTCAGGCAAATTTACAAAGCTGGCATGCAAAGTATTCACTTTGAGGGAGGTTCTCCATGATAAATAAAAGAAACATGAATAAGGAACAGGCTGATGGACTGCAGGGTTTTCACTCGGCTTTTAAACTCCGGAGATTCTCCAGAGTCTAATGTCTTTAGACCCTCTTGTTCTAGAGTCTTATAGCTTTTTTTGGGAGTCTAATTTTACATTTTTGTCACATTATTTGAAGTAAACTCTTGAGAAATTACATAAAACTGGATACATGCAAGGAATAGTAATTAGTCGGAAACCTTTCAGAAATGTATATCATAATTAAAATAGGAAGATAATCTTAAGTAGTATTTTGAAAAGTAGGTTATCTCTGATCTCACATGGGGGAGGAGTTGTCATGATGCCGCGAAAAATCAGGGTGAGAACCCTGTGGACTGTGAAATCAGGTTTAAAGGAGAGATCACTGTTCCGGCTCAGAAAATGCAGAAAATTTAGATATTGAAAAAGAAATTATTTGCTGTTGTCATAACAACAGCCAACAGGAAGAGTGATCAAATGATTCCCTTTTGATTCCTGCATATGATTAATTAAATGCCAGCTTTGAGATCAAAAGATTTGTCAGTAATGGTGAAGCGTGCTATTCATAACAAAAACACAAATGTGTACAATATGTCCCTACCAATGGGTGATCCTGTCAAATGGTTATCCTGAAAATGAGTAGACAAGACTTTACCGACACAATTTGAGGACGGAAAATCCAAAATGGCCACCTTAAAATTTACCCACAATGCCAAAAATTTAGTCAGCAATTATACAGATGAATCCGATCTATAATATGGAATAACAGAAATATTGTATCATCCCATTTGCAAATTCCGAGAATCCTAAAGTGTATACTGGACGAAACAGCTAGATTCAGTCAAAAGTCCCCATTTTTAGGCACATGTAAATCAAATTCCCCACCCCCTGGACAACAATCTTCATCAAATTCCTAACCCTGGGGGCATTGTTCTAAGTAGTACGCCACCATGGGAACAAGAGTTGAGCAAACCAAAAAATGGGCGTTTGGGGGTCTGGGGGTTCTCCCCCTGGAAAATTTTGAAATTTAGTTGTACATATTTGGAGCGAATTTGCAACCATCTGGTATGCCTGTGCTTAACCAGCATATCGGGTGCTATGCCTACATGTATGCCTAGGGACACAGGAGTTCTTATTGATAAGCCCGCTATTCATCAAAACATGTTTTGTTCGGTGGGATGTGCCACTCCGTTGAGTTGCTGTTTTCTAGTTTAATATAGTTTAACCATTGAAATTTTACTTTTCATAACTCGGAAACTCATTTGACAACACTTTTGAAAAATATGACTTATGAAAAAAGTTGTTCATCTTAAAATTTTCAAATATTTGAATTTCCCAACATTTTAGAAACAGATGAGATTTTTAGATCAAAAAATACAACAATGTACTTGTTCACTACTCAATTAAATGATCAGACAGAGGTAATAATATTTTACCTGTTTAATCTATTAGTTTATGCATATAAAGAAACTTCAAAATCAATCTTGTAAGTTTTGTGATGTTACAATGAAACACTTTAATGTCACTCAGGTGGCAAAATGTTTTTCAAAAATTGTCAATTTTTCATATAAATGTTTTCTAAATAAACGTACATGCATAAGGGACATGGAAGAAATACCAAAACGATGATGATTCATCAGATCTGAATGCAGTTTTAGCTCTTAGCCAAGATGTCTTATTTACATTAAAAGAGTTCTAAGGAATGTAGTATTAGTCCACCTGTTTATACAACAAGAATATCAGCAAAACATTTATTTATATACTGACCATCAGACTGATAGTCACAATGTTATAGCACTTTAAACAACATGCTCCAGAGGCCATTGTGCCTTTATTGGGGGGCCCTTTATTTGCCTGATTGAGTATGATGGTGTGAGGAAAAAGTTGTTCTAAGGTACATATTTAAATTAATGGAAAGATGAACTACAATTCCTTGGGGTCATGATATTACAGATTTGCATTCAAGTGCTCCCAAATGCTTGTAACTTAACTTGTCTATGAATGAATTGTGAATTGTTGGTTATATGCATTATGCTCTTGCATATATTCACCCTCAGGCCTGTGAAGTGAAACTTGTAAAGCTGTAGGGATATAACCTAAAAATATCCCCGAATCAAAATACAAGTTCTGCACTTCAATTTATGTCTTGGAACATCATTCAATATCAAATTCATGTTACATTGCTACATTCATAAGTGTCTGATGTTTGATTCTGCAAGACAAACTTGCATCATTTTATGAAAGGTTTTTGAGTTATCAAAGATTATGTTTGTTACGGAAAATGGCAGAAATTATACGAAATTTAGCTGCCATCTTAAAGATTCTTTCTCAAGCAGAGCTCATGTCTCCTTAAGCATCATAGCATATAAAATCCGTCCACTGGTATTTTAGTTATCAAACATTATGTTTTTTTTACATATAAAATTTAAACCATATCTGTTTACTTGTATTTTAGTTCAATCAAAGATGGAAAGAAAAAATGGTGGCCATTTTGTAAGAGAGCCCCCATCTTGAAAATCTCTTCTTGAGCAAAGCTACACTATCCCTAGGCATCAGCCTATAAAATTGAATCAAATTGGTCAAATGGTATTTGAGTTATGCCCTAATGGATAGATGAACTGCTTCTCTATATCCCTCTCGAACCTGTTCGGTGGGATAATAAGATACTTACATGAAGCAAGTTTTACTTTAAATTCAAACTTCTTGAGGGCTGAAGGCTGCTGGGTCTGGTCAAAAACCATAACTGATCTTGTTGCCTCTGCAGCAAGCTTTGGTTGGGGAGGTACAATCATTTGTAGTTTGTGCTTTTTACGTGGGATATTTGGAGTTTTCTTTTGTCGTTTAAGTGGTTTGTTCTCCAATTCTTTGTCTTTATCTGAAAATAAACATCAAATGTTTCTTGAACATGACCATTTTAAGGAGACATCATCAAAATAAGTGATGAGAGTGGAAGCCTTTAACCCTTTCCCGACATGGATATGAAAGGAAAATGTTTGCCGGTTTTTAGGTTAAAACTGGAATAACATACATACAGGGTGTTCCAAAAGTAACAGGACTGGTGCTGGTATTTTGTCAATTCTGCACCAATTATCTTCAAATTTTCACAAATTGTACTTTGAAGTATTGCAACTAAAATAATAAAGTTTCAGAAAAAATGATAAAACGTGGGTAGAGTTATGGTTACTTGTAACATGACATCACGATACCCGGGGCAACTTTTTCATGAAAATGTGATATCTAACATTTCTGTATTACTAAGGAAAGTATCTAATTCACCTATTACAGTACAACACTTTTTGTTTGTTTTATTAGTTGCTTTGTTGTTATGTTGTTGCTATACAACTCATATTCAAGTATGATTTCATTGTAATAATATTTACTTAATTTCCTGGAATATCACTAGGTATAACAGTCTGCACAATTCACGATTGAGTTTTCGAAAAGACCCAATTTGAAGCCAGCCATCCACCTTAATAACCCGCCTGCCTGCTAGTCAGCATTAAGACCACTGCAGCTATAGAGGAGCCAGGTCTTGAGGTTTAAGACCATGCACCATGCTCTTCTGATCATGCAATATCTATTTTTTTATTATTTTTTATGGAGAATGGAATGCTAATCAGTGGGGCAAGACCTTTAAAGATGAGAATGACCTTCTCCAAGTTGTCCAATCGACCCTGCAATGTCCTCAAATGAATTCATTCATGTGTTTAAGTTAAGTATACTAAGTGCTTGTCTTGTACTGACCAATTGCAAAGAGGAGCCTACTTTTCAAAGTAGAGGATACATAGGGAATATCAAATGATGTAAAGCAATTGTAATTTTCACCAGTTGTTGCATTTTAACTTTGATATGGGATGTACAAATTGCTTAAAGACTGTGAAACTTTCTGCCTGGAATGTTGCTCCGGGTATTGCAGTGGCGTAGGAACAATGTACGCCAAAACGCCAATGCGTAGTGCTAGAATAAAGAAGCTTATTAGTTTCCCTATGTTCTTTAGTCATATTTCCTCATTGTTAATAAATTGCCAAGTTTGTGATCTCGAGCACACTAAAGACATGTTTTTGGACACCATTATGTTCCATCTTTTCAATAGTACTCTTTGCAAGTTTTGTGTGCCTCTGTTATTTTCTAGCTTCGGCCACAGATAAATGGCACTTTTTGGCGTAAAAATCAAGGTGATTGGGGGTAGAGGGGCAAAGTTATGACAGTCAGATGTTTAAGCCAATAAAATGAAATTCGTAAAATATTGATAGTCACATTGTTTCTAATAGTGTAGAAAATGCATTTTAATCATTATGTGTTTGGTAGATAGTACTCATTTAACAGATTGAATTCTCTTTCCAACATGCTTTATTTCATGAAAATCATTTTTAGTTAATTTTTGTGCATGTTCCGTAATGCTTATGTAAACTGTTGTACCAGAATTATAATCATAAACCTCTCCCAATATAAGATGTAGTTTTTTTTATTTTCCCCTACCCCCGATTTTTCAATTTCACCAATTCAATTTATATTCCGTTGCTATGTGGTTGCTAGCGAAAATCAAGGACCGAATTTATATTGAAACAATAATAAGTCAGCATTTATCTATTATCTTACTCAATCACTAATTGTTATTGTTATTTGTAGTACTTCTTGAAATATGAATGTTAAAGACAAAAACAAGTTGAACTTGAACTTGTTATTTACTCAGTTACGCGTTCCACTGATTTCAATGAGTTTTCGTGATGCCTGCTAACTTCGAAAGTACATAACTTCAGTTCTAGGAAAGCAATTACCCTAATTTTCATTTCATTTGAAACATAATAGATTATTATTTTAGGAAATAAACTATTTAGGCACATTTAATTCTTTTGAAAGGAAATTAACAATTTACCACAAAATGTCACGTTGACCTTTGTTGAGGGGGGTTTGCGAATTAGTGTTATAAAAAAGGTTAGAGTTAGTTGTATCATTGATCACAGACATGTTTCTATTGATCATACTATTTTCTTTAATCTGTATTGTCGAGATTTAAAAGATCGGCTTTCCATGGTGATTTTATATGATGAAAAACATTCGAACATTTTAAGCACATTAGAAAGGTATTACCATAAAAATCACGTTTTTCGAGCATAAAATAGGCGTTTTGATATTAAAGATTTGACACAATTTTTTCATATTTTTGGCGTAGTGTTGAATTTACACCTTCCTACGCCCCTGTATTGTGATGTCATGTTACCATAGCAACCATAACTCTACCCGAGTTTTATAATTTTTGTCGAAACTTTGCAGTTTTTGTGACAATACATAAAAATAAATTATGTAAATTTTTGAAGACAATAGGTCCATGTTTAACAAACAAGGCACAGACGTGAACAATATCGTACCTAAAACACAGCATTGTGGTCTTGTTGACCAAGAAAGCAAGATGGCCGCAGAAAAGTTAATCAGCTCTATAACTTATCACTGTGTAACATATGTAAAAATTTGAACAGTTTGGCTGGAAACCTGTAGACAAGTCTTGAAAGTAAAGATTTTAGGACGGAAATTCCAAAATGGCCACCTTAAAATTTACCCAGAATGCCCAAAAACTAATCAGTTCTTGACGTTGATATGTAGAAACATCCCTGAAAATTTCAGATGAATCCCTCAAATGGTTTGGCTGAAAACCTGTAGACAAGTCTTGAAAGTGAAGATTTTAGGACGGAAAATCCAAAATGGCCACCTTAAAATTTACCCAGAATGCCCAAAAACTAATCAGTTCTTGACGTTGATATGTAGAAACATCCCTGAAAATTTCAGATGAATCCCTCAAATGGTTTGGCTGGAAACCTGTAGACAAGTCTTGAAAGTAAAGATTTTAGGACGGAAAATCCAAAATGGCCACCTTAAAATTTACCCAGAATGCCCAAAAACTAATCAGTTCTTGAAGTTGATATGTAGAAACATCCCTGAAAATTTCAGATGAATCCCTCAAATGGTTTGGCTGGAAACCTGTAGACAAGCTGAAAAGTGAGACGCCACCCGCCGCCCACCCACCGCCCACCCACCGCCCGTCAAGCTGACTACAATATCGTACCTCTTGTTAGGTACGATAAACAATATCGTACCTCTTGTTAGGTACGATAAAAAAACCAGCACCAGACCTGTTACTTTTGGAACACCCTGTATACCCTGGGACCTATACTTAAAATTTTCGAAACGTTTTGCACAAAAGCTACTCAAGAGAAGAGATTTTACAATTTATACATCAAATTTAATACCCTTTGCATTCGTTTGACTTCACTTCTTAAAAGAGAGCTTCGTCTTCACTCTTTCAAACTAAAATAAACCTGTGAACTCACCGCGCCAATCAGTGTTTGTCGGCCAAATTTGACCGACGTTCTATATATGGTTATTCCTTCTGACGTCATCGTTGAGCCCGAAATTGACCAATGACATGCGCATATTTAATTAGAACGCATTTGGCGTATGTTTCTTCAAGCTCGCCGATTGGTGGAAGAAAGGTCAGCGCGTAAGTCAAAAGTGATTTATTACCCAAACTGTCACCGGTACCCGTCGTGGGGGCGGGGCCACTAAACTGTAATATGGTCTCTACTAGGCAGAGTGTAGTTGAACTAGACTCTGCATGCAGGGTACAAATTTAATACAGTTGTAGTATCATCCTTCTTACAAGCATATATGAAATTTCAGGACCTGAATGAGATAAATTCACTTCCTGAGATAGATTGACCTTAAAATTTGAACCAATGGTCCATATGACTTCATTAAATTGAATTGATTTTGTGAATGCCTTGATAGGCTGAAATGGTATTGTTAATCTTTGTTCTTTCAGGTGTTGTTATAACTAATTTAAATTTAATCTAAATATTATAAGTATAGTACAAGGTGGTAAAAAAATGAAAACCCTTACACCATTTTCTTCATATCTTTGTCATTTTAAGAAGTAACTTAACACATTTGTACATTATTCAATTTCTTACCTGCCTACCTTATTTCATGACCATCAGATCGATAGCCAAAGTGTTACAGCACTTTAAAGAACATTCCTGGTGGCCACTATTGCGCTGTAGAGAAACCTGCACATGTCGTCCAAAATGACCCTACCTATGGGGATATGGCAGATATAGAGTGTATAAGAATGACTTCAGGACAATTGCTAACCCCAAAAGTGAGATCATCTGTATCATTCAGGCCATACCTGATGAGGAATGCATTTGAGTCATTGACAACTGTGCAGATTTGCCTACTGCACTATGATGGCCAAACCTGCAGCATGTTGCTCAAAGTGCTGTAAAATTGTGACTATCAGTCTGATGGTCATGAAATACGGTAGGGTGGTAGGAAATTGAATGATTTACAAATGTGAAAATTATCAGGGAGTAATTTCTTGAAATGATAAGATATGAGGAAAATGCAGGGTTTCTGTTTTATTTCACCACTCTGTACTTAATATGTAGTCTTCCTTTTCAGTAATGCATTACTTGTAGCATTATGTCCAGTCCAAAAGTAAATGCCTGAACAATCCTACCAATAGGATGTCAAACCGTCTCAGCAACCCTCAATCCATTTTCCCTTTCCTTATGTTTTGCAGGAACCATCCTATGCGAGTTTGAACTCAGTGCGTATGTAAAATTGACCCACTCGTTCGAAATTTACTTTGATCTGTGTGTTATTTTTTCTGTATGCTATGCTACTTATAACAATAGCAATCCGTATGACATTTCAACATTGCTTTGGATTTTTACAAAGTGCGTGAGTGAATGAAAATAAGTAATGTAAAAAAATAACTGTTGGTATAACATAGATTGAAAATGGCATATGATGATATAGTTCAATTTTTCACATGGATCGTGTATTGTCCAATTTTGATACAAAATAAATTCAACATAGCAATGCCTATTAGAGTCATCATATGCAATATACCTTAAAGGGACCAGATCATCCAGATTTCTCTCCTGGACAATCAGTAATATCCTAATATAACTGTTCATATAACATCATATATACCATAGATATATTTTGAGACCGAATCATGAGCACAGTTTCACCAATATATTGTGAAAATCAACAGGACAACCAAAGAACAACCAAGTGTCTAGAACACAATAAGTCTAAAAAATACATTTTTTTAGATTTATTTATATTGTAAAACCCTTGTAAGTAATTTAATTACTATTCGAAATGATAAAAATGTGTTGTGATAAAAAAAGAATGCCCACACCAGGAATCAAGCCCCAACCTTTCAGACAAAACCAAAGAAGGAATAAAATCCGCTGCGCTACCCCTCTAATAAGCGCCCATCCCGCTTCACAAAGTTCAAGAAACATCGAGGAAACACCAAGAATTCAAATTTCCGAAATCAATGAGCGGGCAATAGTAGAGTACTTACCCTAATCTGCTGTAAACATGACACATTTTGTAATTCTATGCATCCTCCCGATAAATATCTATCGTTTGGGTAGTTTCCACACTATATTATACTTCTAATGTCTTGAAGAAGTCGATAATGAATAAAGGAAATGCTCTAGTTTAGGGATTTCGATCGGCATTCTACCAAGAGAGTTTCTGTACAGGATGTTCTGCGCATTTCTTTTTTTTTTTCTTTTATTCTTTATTTCTACCCACACTTGTGAGCATAAAATAGTACATATACATACAATGATAATACAGTTTAGTTTAATTCACTACCACCAATAATCTTCATCAATTTACTTAATTGCACAGAATATTTAATATTTGACAACAAACTTTTAAATTTTAACATATTTGGTTGTCTAATGAAGTAGTTATCTAGAAGTATTTTTCTGTCATCTTCAAAAAGTTTACATTCTAAAATATAATGGTACTCATCTCCTAGTCTGCTACATTTGGTACACACTCTCTCTAACCTTGGTCTTTTTATGTATCTCCCTGTTTCTATAGGAAGATTATGATTTGAAGTTCTAAGTTTTGTTATATATAATCAAAAATTCATAAACTTCCTCATTTCTTTTTTACATTTCACGATTTTAACATGACTTTAATACGAAAAATGATGATTTTTAAAATCCAATTAAAAAAATAAGGTAGAAGTTAAGATCGATATCCAACCGTTCCGAGATGAAAAATTGAAGATCATCGGAAAAAACAAGCCCATTAATTCGAGATGCTCTGCTGGGTATTTCTTCCATCACTGTCAATATCGATTCTTATGAGATCATTTCTATATTTTAGAGATTGTTACCATATTCTCGCTAAAAATAGTACATATCATTATAATTTGCAAAAATATACTGATCCTTCGTTTTGAGTGCAAACAAGGCATTCTTGGCAAGAAAAATGGCCATACATAAAATTCCAAGGGATTTTTGACTTCTTTAATATATGGGCGCTTAATAGAATGGTCTGAAGGGTCTATTTTCAATTTTCTAAATGCCCTGGGCGCTAATTACAGGGAATATGGTATATCATATAATATTCATCTTTAAACTTGGGTATTGTTTTTTTGGCCCACCCTGCACAATACAAATTACAGAGAACCATTTAATACTTATGCATCATACAGGATATTTTATGACTCACCATCTTCATCACTTTCCAGTTCTGATTCCTCTGTGCTAGGAATATCTTCCTCAGGATGAGGCTCATTAGGAATAGGAGGCAGTTCCTCGGGTAGAGGTGGTGTGGGGGTCACAGGACCAAACGGAGCTGGGAGGTTCATTTTATTCATCAGATGTAGCACCTGGGTGTAAAATTTTGGTACGGCAGCAAGTGCATTTGCGATGTTGGTCAGCACACTGGCTGTTGGAGGAGGGTAAGAGTACATCAACTCAGGGTTATATTTGTAGCCAATATTCCATGTAGCTGAGATGTAATCCAGATGTTCATGAATATGGTTACTGGTGCCTTCTAAAGCTTCTTCCTCATGTTCCTTATCTGGTTCTGAGTTCTTGACTTTTTTCAGGTCACTCTTCAAACATATTTTATCCAAACCTGGCGAGAAAAACTTTTTTTCACTTGCCTTGGAAAATTCTACAACAAGTTTAGATGTGAGTACCTTTAGTTGGTGAAGTCTATTTAGAGCAGTTCCAGCATGGGTTGCATTTTTAAACGTTGCAAATGCAGTGTTTTTGTATCGTCCTATATTACCCATACATCTAACACTCTTGGCACCAAAGTGTTTTAAGAGGTCTTCTTTGTCTTCATCGTTAAGTTCTGATGGCAAATGACGCACAAATAGCACTCTATTTTCTTCATCTTCTGACATATTTCAACTGAAGAAAAAGAAGAAAGGAAAATAAGTTAAACATTAAATCATTTTGAAGCGTTCATCTTTGGGACACTAGAGTACCTACAATGTATGCTGAATGCCCTGTTTTGTATATATGGTGTTGCTAAAACCAAAATGAGGCGAGGCAAGTTACCCGATTTCCGTGTTAAATCAAAAAATGGAACTTTGAAACAAGGAACTTGATTGGTTGCTGCTAACCGCCGCCAGTGACACCTATCCGGTTCTCTAAAATGTAATTCATATTCTAGAAATAAAATTAAAATTAAAGTGTACAAAACTATAAAAGGTGTACTAATAATTATTTATCAAAACATCTGTTTCATATAATATCTTTATAAACCCAATTTAAGGTACAGCTGGAAAGTAACATTTTGGTAAAAAATTGCTATACCAGCGCATGTTATTTTCTGGTACAAAATAAAGTATGAAGACATGTGTCAATTGCCTTGCTTTTTTCAGGAAAGTATCATTACACTGTCTTTTTTAAGAATATCTAGTAGGAGTTCAATGGGAACTCCAGGAAATTCTGATATTTCACAATTTCTTTTTTTCCAAATTTTCTTTCAAAGTTTCCAGACAACACAGGAGCTACCACTGACCTGTTTCCAGGTTTACTAAAAGTAGACAGTGTAATGATACTTTCCTGAAAAAAGCAAGGAAATACACACATGCCTTCATACTTAATTTTGTACCAGAAAATAACATGTGCAGGTATAGCAATTTTTACCAAAATGTTACTTTCCAGCTGAACCTTAAACGGTGAAATTAACATTTTTCTTGGAATTTTAAACTTCTAATTACAACCAATCAAATCTTCAACTTGCCGGGCAGGTTCGTACAGTTGTTGTTTTCTATGCAGTCTTATCGAAGAGTTAGGATATAGATTTGAAATATTCAACAATATACGTTTCGAAAACACTTTGGAGAAGATTCTGGAGAGATTTGGTGGTACGACTCGATACCAGTAAGGAGAACTTGTACCAAGACGGCAAGTTTTTGAAAAATTTTCAATCCTAATTGTAAACCTGTGAATTATTATATGGTTTACTATAGTACTTAACCTCCGCCTATGGTACTCATACCTTAGACTATATCCTATTTAGTCTGAATAATATTCAGACTATAAGGCACCTATGTTAAAGTTTGGTAATTCTAAATATTTGTTTACATAGGAAGTGCTATTCAAAATGGCCGATTAGGTAAAATTAATTTGCACATTTTTACTTCAACTAGCTTTATTTCCACTTGACAATAGGCTGTGTTACTTTTTATTGCATTTAATTGTACCTTACTATTTAATTGAAATTTTGTAATGTTTATTTTATTGAAGAAATGGTTCCTCCAATTGATAATTTTGTGCAAAAAATTTCACTGCAATTTCCACAGGAAAGTAGTACATCATAACAGACTGACTTCTAGTCAGTCTGTTGGATACATACTAACTCATACCTAGGCAGGTCTGAATTGTCATGGGCGATAATATGTTAGTTCACTTTTTTTTCGTCATATTCAGGTACACAAAGATTATTTATCAACATAGCACATCTCACTTTGATAAGTTATTCCACTATATAATGGTATGATTTATGATGTAGACATGTTATGAATTTTGAGAGGTACGAAATGACTAATAAAATAAATACTCCTTACTCACTTTTTATTATCCGGGCACTGCTTAGAACCGGAACTGGATGCGAAACTGAAGATTTTCCCCCATATTATCGCCCAGTTAAGAATATCTTTAATTTATTTATTAGATGAAAATGACTCATTTAGCTCTAAGCTTTTTATTAGAACAATGAAATTTTGATTACGTTTGTAACAGAGTGTAATGGCATCACCTCAGGATATCGCAACAGGAGAAATAATCACCCTAAATGTTGGAGGAACAAAGTAAGTTATTAGGCTGGAAAGTAACATTTTCTTTGGTTAAAAATTGCTATATACCTGCACATGTTATTTTCTGGTACATAATTAAGTATGAAGGAATGTGTGTATTGCCTTGCTTTTTTTCAGGAAAGCATCATAACACTGTCTACTTTTAGTAAACCTGGAAACAGGTCAATGGTATCATCTTATCCCGTTCCCGGACTATAGTCCTGCACTGATCGCATTCATTTGCCTGTACGATTACAACTTGGGAGAATTATCTACGCCCCTTACACTTAAGATACCTACCTCAATGCATTATACAGGGCTGTCAACTTGGGACCACCTAATATGAGTGACTTCAAAATGTTGGACACCTAAGTCCAAATCTGAACACTTTTGTCCAAATTTTGAACACCTTTGGCCAACTTTTAAACACCTTTGGCCAAAGTTTGAGCACCTTTGCCAAACTTTGAACACCTCAAATTTTTCGCGCTCGCTACGCTCGCGATGTCGTCAACGGGGGGGGGGGGGGGGGGTAGGTACGAAAAATTTCAAATGAACATGCGTGACACATACGGGATTCGCGTGACAAATCCGAAAAAATTGCGTTCGATTTTTTCCGACGTTCGTATTTTTACCATATCGTAAACATATTTCGAAAAAATTTCTACATAAATATCTTTGCTTGACAATTGCCAGGTAAAATGCGTATTTTGCGTGACATTTTCTGTCACGCAAAAAAAACTGGCGTGACTTCAAATTCTTCAGCAAATGCGTGACAAATACGCAAATTGCGGGACAGTTGACAGGCCTGATTATAGAACTCAAGATGTAACTTCTAATATATTGGAACCGCCGATTGTCTGGGTATATCGGCAGAACGGGAACATTTTCTCTTTTTCATCGAGAGAGATTCCATCACTTTTCAAAATGGCGGTTGGATTTAAAAGGGGAATCCCCCGTTTGGCTGTCGCGGATGTAGCCCGGAAGTACCAATATGGAGGAATTTGACGGTTGAAATAAGTTAAATGTTACACGCAAATATTGCGATCAAAAACGAAAATGTCTTTGTTCTGCCGATAAACCCAGACAATTGTGGATTCAACTACACGGAAAGAATGCTAAATTACCAAGGAATCTATTGAAGTAGGTGTCTGAAGTGTAAGATCAGTAAAAAATTCTCCCATGTTGTAATCGCACAGGCAAAAGATTGAGATGTTCACAGGACCATAGTCCGGGAACGGGATAAGTATCATCTATATACAGTACTGTCAACCCCTAGTATGTATCCAACAGACTGACTAGAAGTCAGTCGTGTGTTATGATGTACTACTTTCCTGTGGAAATTGCAGTGAAATTTTTTGTACAAAATTATCAATTGGAGGAAACATTTTTTCAATAAAATAAACATTACAAAATTCCAATTAAATAGTAAGGTGCAATTAAATGCAATAAAAAGTAACACAGCATATTGTCTAGTGGAAATAAAGCTAGTTGAAGTAAAAATGTGCAAATTAATTTTACCCAATCGGCCATTTTGAATAGCAGTTCCTATGTAAACAAATATTTGGAGTTACCAAACTTTAACATAGGTGCCTTATAGTCTGAATATAATTCAGACTAAATAGTTTATGTCAACCCCCAAAGATTTTCTCGCGGGACAGATTTTTTAGACCCAGTGCCAAAAATTCGCGGGATTTTGCGGGACATCCGCCTAAATTCGCGGGATTTTGCGGGACATTTAAGGTGCCATGGAAGTTAACAGGAAATGACAAAACAGGAAGTGACAAAGCCATGCTGGATTTTGAAAATTTTTTGAAGCAAGATATCAGATTTCTCTTTGGACCTCTAGTCAGTTTTACTAGTTCCACATATCATTTACATGACTGGGAACACAATGGAAATGGTCAGAATGACCATAAAAATGAGGAAATAACCTTTTCAGCCCTCTGAAAATGTGACTGAAAAATAGCTAAAAGTAGGTGCTCAGGAAAGGTCACTGAACAGAATCTTTCGATTTTTTCAGAAAATTGTCCAATATATTGCTCTAAATGATACAATCTTTGAAATTTTAAAAAATTGTCTGAAACAATAATGGCTGTAGTAAAAAGGTAAATCGATCGATTTTCAATTCAGTTTTTTTCATTTTTTTCTTTTTCTAAGAATGATATCAAATTTTTTTAAATTGTATCATTTTAAGCAATATATTGGGCAGATTTTCTGAAAAAGTCAAAAGATTCTGTTCAGTGACCTTTCCTGAGCACATACTCTTAGCTGTTTTTCAGGCACATTTTCAGAGGGCTGAAAAGGTTATTTCATCATGTTTATGGTCATTCTGACCATTTCCGTTGTGTTTCCGGTCATGTAAATGATATGTGGAACTAGTTAAACTGACTGGAGGTCCAAACAGAACTCTTATCTTGGTTCAAAAAATTTTCAAAATCCAGCATGGCTTTGTCACTTCCTGTTTTGTCATTTCCTGTTAACTTCCATAGCACCTTAAGGAATTTGCGAGATTGCGCTAATAGGTCGAATTTCGATCAAATTCGCGGGATTTCGCGGGACCATCTGAGGGACAAACACGCTAATTGCGGGACAGTTAACAGGGTAACCACCAAAGACTTCATAGAGGGGCAATCTTTTATAGACAAAGTGCCCTTTTGCAGGATTGGCGAAACATCCACCTAAATTTGCGGGATGTCGCAGGACGACATTCAAGGGATTTGCGTGATTGGGACTTAATGTAAAAGTACTCAAATCAAACTTTCAGATACTGATTTATCAAATATAATGCACTTAACTTAAGTAAACGTCAACACAATACGCATAGAAATATTATTAAAGGGGCAACAAGGCCTGTAGAGAGAAAATCAAATTCTTTTACTTTTTCATAGCTATCAAGGCAACACTTGGCTTAACATATTCTTTGCCATACTTATTTTCTTAAAATGTATGGATAAACTATCAATTTCAGCATTAAGAAGTGTAAATTCAGTTTGGGAGTCCCACTTATAGATTTTTAAGATGCACCATTTTGAGGAATATCGGCTGAAATAATGTTCATCCAGGGGGTTTCTTTGGAACTAATAAAAGTATATGTTAGTCTTGAAGAAATAGCCAAACTTAAATATATTTTGACACTGTTCCATGATCGTTGAATGGCCCCTCTGCACTCATTGTTGCACCTTTAAACTATAAAGAAACCACACTTGTGAGTACCGTAATCCAACACGAAATTCAAAAATTCTGAACAATACTTTGCAATTATGGCGTTCGTGACCAACCATGAAACATTTACCCCCCATTGTGTTATATATTAAAATGTACCTTTTCATATAGGGGTCCGATAGGGGTCAACCCAGTTGTCCGAAACCCAATTCTCCGAATCCGAGCAGTTTTCCGAAACCCAGTTGTCCGAAACCCAGTTGTTCGAAAATAAGGGGATCTTATCTTAAAAATACAATATCTTTAAGCGAATCTTGTCACAACCTCTGCGAGTCACAACATAACATTGAAATCACGTTGACATCATTGCAAAATTAGGCTAAATATGCTAAGTCAATACGTTGATTGTTTAATGTTTAGCCTACGAACGTCATGGGGTAACTTGAGAACTAGAAAATACAACCAAATACTTTTCGAACGTACAATAGCAATATTTCTCACCTAACGTCTTCATAGTTTTAGGAACGTATTTTAAACGCATGATAGCGAAATATATCAAGATACTATATCTGCCTAATGTAGTTATAGTGTTCACAAAGTTTTGAAACATATTTTATCCAGATCCTTCAGAAATTAACTTATCCAATAAATTACTTTACTAGTTCTAGTATCTTGCATGACTCGTTCATAAAATTCTTTAATTCTACCTCGTTCCCAATACGTCCTCAGACAGACAAGAAATTGAAGTCACACCCGTTTGTTTGCGTGACAAAATATGCCACGCAAATTAACACTTAAATACGCACATTCTCTGATTATTGTCAAGCAAATACAGTTTAGGAGAAGAAAATAAAAAACAAATGCCGGAAACGAAGGCCGAAAAATAAATCCCAAGTGATTAGGTTTAGAATGTTTTGTTCTTTTACGATTGATAAGAGACAGAGACTAAGAAATTAAATGCGACGAAATATTTTGACACCGTAATATTGTACGATATATTGTAGTATCGTATACTGTTTTATTTTTAAAGTTCTATGCGTTAACTTATTTTCCTATAAAAAAGAGATTGAAGAAGTTAAGATAAACTGTTCCGTAATATATATTGTGTTTTAATAACCGCTTTTAGGATCACAATGTAAAATAAATCCCCCGTTCCTGCCATTCTAGTAGCACCATGTAATGGGTGCAATTCTAAGTGAGAGAGAGAGCGATCTATAAACATCAGAATGCGTCCATCCCATTAATTTGGCCAAATACATGGCATGAAACTGGCGTAAGCTTAACTTGGTTCGTCCCCCTTTCTCTGGTAAATTATGACTATATTTTTCGGAGTAGTGGGTTTCTGACAACTGGGGTGTACCCTTTAGCTTCTTACACTGTATATCACAAGATAATCACAATTACTTAGCCTCGGGGATTGTTACAATTTTGAAAATTCGCGGAGGTCAAAGCCGACATTTGCGGGACTTCGCGAGACATTGCGGGACACGCGAATTAGCCAAATTTTGATCAAATTCGCGGGATAATCCCGCCATTCGCGGGACACTTGACAGCTCTGTATATACAGCTTACTATTGCTGTTAACTGTTAAACATAGCAAGAACATAACTTCGACATATGAGTGTTACCTGATGAATGGGACCCTCATGTGCCTTCCAAATGGTAGTAAACGAACTCCAGTGTAACTACATCAGCTTATCTTTCCGTCCGATCAACAATAAGTACAGTTACAGTTGGGGACATAAATAAATGACAGGTGGATTTGCTGAAGTGAGGATTTCCCATGTTAAAAATAAGAGAATTTACAAGAGGCCATACATCAGTGGATGAGATTATACAAAATGTAAAATATACAAATTTTAAGGGATATATATCTAGACAATATT